TTGTTGGGCATGGTGGCACATGCCTGTAGTCCCAGCAGCTCAGGTGGCTGAGGCAGGAGAATTGTGAGTTCAAAGCCAGCCTCAGCAATTTAGTGAGGTCCTAAGCAACTCAGCAAGACCCTGTCTCTAATAAAATGCAAAAAAGGGCTGGGGATGTGGCTCAGTGATTCAGTGCCCCTGAGTTCAATGCCCAGTACCTAAATAAATAAATCCAGGGAACTGAAGGCCCAAACAAGACCCTGGAGGTGTCACCACAAGATTCCTAATCTCAATCAACATGCATTTCTGAGGTCCCCTTGGTATTAGACTCTACACTGAATAAAAGACTCTTAATTCATGGTCCCTACATTTAAAAAGAGGGTAGTGAAGGCTAAAACAAATAGTCTTCAACCACAAAAACACAGGATGGAAGACAAAGATTGTCATATATGAAAGAATTATAGTAAAAAGAACACAGAAGCATTTGCCAAGTTATAAATTCCATCTTTGTTATCAGCTAGTGTGTATCCTAGTTTTCTTCTCTGTAAGTAATAAAATGGATCTGTTATCTCCTGTGTTTCCTTCCATTAAGGGTTATCTTCAGAAACAGATAAGGTCATGGACATGAAAACAGTGAAATAAAAATTTAGATTGTCACTAGACTATTTGCATAATCTCGCTCTATACAAACAACTTGCAAGTCAATTATTTTACTTATTCTTTTTATTGTGAATTAGGGATTCTCAGGCTGAGAGGGTGGGGAGTTGAGGCATAGCTGGGTTCCTCTGAGCCTTTTTGACAATTGTAGTTTGCAAAAATGCCTGCAGGACCCTATGCAGGTGCCACTGGGTCCAGCATTACCTAGGTTACCATCAGTTGTCCCTTGCTGTGTTGTAGGATTGCTTAATGGGGAATGCATTGTGTTTCTTCTTTTTACTCTACACACATTGAGAAAATAAACCACAGTAATTGTGAAATCAGAACTTTGGTGAAATACATTGCAGCACAACCCGTAAGCACATTGTGATGGACCCTGCTGGGAATAGCTACAGGTTTGAGGGTGAACAGGAGAATCAGGTTGTCAGAGGTGAAAAGATAAATGTGTGGAAGGGGTCTTTGTTTGGTTCTGAGTGGTGGTGAGTATAGGGCAAGATAGAGTGCCTCTCCATTCCTCCTGCAGAATATGCCCATGTTCTGGGCTGGAGACTCCATGCCCCGGTAAGTCATGCAGGGTGAAGTAGCGAGCTCAGTGACACATGGCAGAGAATGAACACTCAATCAGAAGAATGTACCCACATGCATAAAAGGGATTGCTGTGGAGATTAAAAAAAAGAAAGGTACAATAAAGTTTAATCTGTTAATTAATGATGGGGAAATCAGTTCTCAGTTTCTTCTTGTCTATCTGGGTCACCACCTAGGTAACCTATTCCAGTCCCATGTTCCGTGTTTCTACATAATGATAACTCTCAAATCTCTTCCTTCCTTTCTCTTCCTTTCCTTTCCTTTTTCTTTCATTTCCCTTCCATTCCCTGCCCCCCTTCCTTCGTTTCTTTCCCAGGGGTTGAACCACTGAGCCACCTCCCCAAACATTTAATATTTTATTTTGAGACAGGGTCTCACTAAGTTGCTCATGGTCTCCCTAAGATGCTGAGGCTGGCTTTGAACTTGCGATCCTGCTGCCTCAGCCTCCAGAACAGCTGGGATTACAGTCATGCACCACTGCACCTGGCCCCCTCTCAAATTTCTATCTCCATACCCAGGTTCTTCTCTGCACGGAAGACATATACATCCAACTGCCTACTGGACATCTTGATTTTCTTGTCACAGTTATTCACCTCCCAGTGAATGCACACTTTTTTCTTCTACGTTTTCAGAACAGAAAGTGGGGTTACAGCTGACTCTCCCCTTTAGATCACAGCACACATACAATGCTTTAAGAAATCCATCATCCCTCCCTTCAAAATATGCTCAAGACTATTTCTAACTGCTTCACCATCTACTGCCTGGATTGTTGTGGTAGCCTCCTAATGGATCTCTTTTTTTTTATTTTATTTTTAACTTTATTACTCTGGTGTGTCGTTCTCAGAGTAGACAGCCCTCTTACCCCAAAATACAAGTCATATACTAATGTTTCAGATTAATTCTCTCTAGAATCCAAAGTCTGTAAAATGGCCTTTAAGGCCTGACATGATCTGTCTATCTGACACCTCTCCTACTTCACAGCCATCCCCCTTACTCTGTGCCTCCCTCAACTTCTCCCAGCCACAGGAGATTCTTCACTGTTCTTCAGTTTAGTACAGCACATTCCCACCTCAGGACCTTTGCACTTACTGGCACCTCCCTGGAGCACTCTTTTCTTCAGATACAGTTTCCTTGCTCACTTCTTTCATATTTAGGTCTCAGGTCTTCACCATGTGAGCATCTAATTCATTCTAGGACACACAGTTTTTTACTCTCTCCTCTCTGTGTTCCCTTCCCCTAAGTATCAGTCAAGTATCAACCAGGAAAACAAAAATCACTCTTAGTATTTGGAGCAGGGGGAACCAGCAGGAATCCACAAGCCTCCTGCTCTTAGGGAGGAAGGAGGGAGCCACCTGGATAACCTGGTGTGAGCAGAGACCACAGTGGTTGTGGCAGAAGCTACAGAATGGGAGACACAGGCCTAGTACAGATGCTGCCAAGGGAGGGAGAGCGAGACACCTGGCTGCTCCCTTCCTGCAGCCCTCCAGTCTCCCTCCACCCCTCCCCTTAGATGAACTCCCGGGAGGCCTGCGCTCAGCCTGCAGGGGGCAGTACCCACCACCCAGCTCTCAGCAGAGGGCAAACAAGCTGGGTACTGGCACAGTCTGCTCTGTTTTTCCTCAGAGCAGGTCTCATCTTTGACATATTTGGAAATTTTTGTTTATCTGTGGTTTCTCTGCTTGAGTAGAATGTCATATCCACGAAGGCAGGGCTTTGCTGTTTTGTTCACTGCTGCATCCACAGCCCCTGAAGCCCTGCCTGGCATTCAGGAAATGTTTGTTGAATGAACAGATATGTCTCAACAGACAGTGCATCTGAATTCTAGTGGGAAATGAGTGAGTATCCGCTGAATGGATGAGGCTGAGCCACAGTTTAACACCAAGCTAATTGTTACGTGAAAAAATAACAAGATGCCCTCTTGATTGAAGTCTATCTCAGGTATTATCATATCATGACTAATAAGATTACATTCATTTGGATAACCCTATAATTTATGATTTATTTTCAAATGTGATTCTTTTGAATCCATACGGTATTTCCTGGGTGATTTTAGACTCTGGCAATTTACATTCATCTTTCTGAATTTGTCCCGTTGAAATGCCCCTACCTGATGCCTTTTTACAACTAACTTTAAAAAATAACAGTTCAGAAAATTTGAAACTATGAACTGTCAGAAAAATAAAAATTAAAAAATTGGAAGAATAAAGCAATTTTGACAATAAATGCTTGCATTATTTATTACTAATAGAATTGAACACTATAGTCTAAAAATGGGCAAAAATGAAGTATTAAATCTTAAGATTAAAATAAAATCTGGCTTTATTCCTAATTAATCAAAAAACACTCTGACAAACTATACATACGGATCAGACAGAAACATTTCTCTGTTTTGGAAAATTTTCACATTAAGAAGGTCTACATTCATTGTTAACTATTGTTTATATTTTCTTGATCTGTCCTAGAGACTGAATGCTAAGGGATTTCTCAAAGTAACAACTGGATTTTGATTTCCCTATGACTACAGATAGATTTCTGGATAATAAATGAATATAGAATTAAAATTCAGGATATTGTGACCAATTTAAGTATGTGAAATATGTACCAGGAGATTTGTATATGCGATATTTGTACCAGGGATTTGTACCAGGGATTGAACTTCCCCAGCCCCTTTTGTGTTTTATTTTGTGACATGGCCTTGCTAAGTTGCTGAGGCAGGGTTTGAACTGGTGATCCTCCTGCCTCCCAAGCTTCTGGGATTGTAGGTATGTGCCATTGAACCTGGCAAAAATATTTTTTAATTACCATTCTTGCTGAACACAAACAAGGGACTGAATGTCTACCTGAAAATATGTTGTGTGTTTCAAATAACTTCAAGACCAAAGAAACTCACCTTAATCTTCTGTGAGACAAATGATTCATTCAGGTGAGTGTTTTGAGAGAGCTCACCCATAAAAAATAATAGAAAGATCATGATATATTTCTCTCTTTGTCCTCAGACAAGAAAAATTGAAATAGATCATCTCTGTGTGAATTGATTTCTGTTCCACCTCAACTGCTCAGATCTCCAAAGTGAATAACACTTGTTGATGTAGTCTTGTTCATGCTTGTTTTTAAGCTGTTTCTTTTTTCTTTTCTTTTTTTTTTAGACCTGATTACATGCTCCTGAGAGAACCAGAAGGGATCAATAAGTGTCAGTTATGCTCATTGTTCATGAGATTTTCCATACTTATTTTCTACCAGTTAACACACACTCAATATGTCACCCTGTCAGAATTAAGTTCAATGGACAATCTCCCATCTTCTGAGTGAGAAACTGTATGAAGAGTTTTGCTAACTGATTAGCATGGAGGTTATAAATGTAAAACTTTATTACAAGAATTGAGAAACTCAATGAATACAGGTGGAAAAAGAGGACAGAAACTCTATCCACAGGCTCAGTGGATACCCATAGATTTTAAACACATGGGAGAGATCCTTACATTTTTTGTATATGAGATGAGTATGTGCAAAACTTGATTTTATCCTATCTAAAGAATGATTAAATGGTCAATGTTTGTGAAACGAGGGGGAACATTTCTATCCTACTCTTCCTAGTTCCTTAATTTTTTGGGAATTGTCTCTACTGTAACACATCCTGTGTCTGTCCAATTTCTTATCCTTTTCTTTGGGAGATGGAATAACTTATTTGATTGGTGAATTCAGAACATGCATAGAGATGAGGGATGCAGTTATTGGGTCTCTCAAATACCAAAGGACTAGACAAAATAGAATGCTACAAAATGGTTTAATAAATGTCTTTAGTATTTAGTTATAAAAAACATCTTACTTTTTCACATCCACAAAGCATAAAATACACTGAAGTAGAGTCAGAAATTTTGTTTTACCTAATAACGTCCTCTTAAAAGAATCAGGTAGCTCAAGATGTTTGTTGGATCTCAAACCAATAAGCATTTAGAACTGGGATTGGTAACTTGATGTTAATGATTCTATTCTCCATTTAAGCATGATTCTGATTAAGAGATTTCTTGGGGTTTATTTGAAGTATATGAATTTATCAATAATTATATATTTTTCTCAGCAGATGAACAATAATGAAAATAAGCAAGCTTAATCTTTTATCATATGATATCTTTACTCCTCCTGAATGCGCCTGCTCCTTGATACTAATATCAAATGATGAGTCTAATGGTTCTTTGCACTTGAACCAAGTATCGGGTCTCATTATTCGGGTTATGTTCTTTGCTTTAATGTCATATTCAAATTGCTTTGATCCACGGAAGAAATAGAAGAACCCTAGAGAAAGAGAATTGTGATGAGTTATCTTGCATAACCATGTAATTTTTCCCTTAGTTTTAAATCTAATGAATATAGAATTGAATAACATAAAGAACAAAGAAACTTGAGGAATTATATAGACACAATTTACTTTTCTTCTGCCATGTGAAAAATCCTACTATTTTTATTTTCCTGAGGGGGAAGCCAAGGTATAAAGCTTAAGTTTCAAGGGACTTATTACCTTTATGGCCAGACTGTGGTCTATGCCAGGAGTTCTCAAACTAGGTTTCAATAAAATATCCCTGTGAGGAGGAGAAGACCCTGTGTGTTTGGCTTTGGGCTTTACATTCCCATTTTATTAAACCTATTACACTTTTATCTGTTTTAGGTTTTGAGGTTCTGTGCTAGATGTCATTGTAATAACAGATTGTGTCACTTGAAGACTTCTGATTACCCCATGGTCTAGGCCATCGTCTTTGAAAATATAGTAGCTGGACTGTGCACACTAAATTGCTTGAATTTCTTTTAAAATTATAGATTCCTGAGTCTCACCTCAGTTCTACTATCAGATATGTGAAATTTGTATTTTCACCCATGAACTCCAAGTTTTGTACCTTAAACTACATACATGAATCCAAGAATCATTGTTCAGCTTGTGTGCTTAGTTTTCATACTTTTGGGAATATCTCTCAATGATGAGTAAAACTAATTTTGGTACTTTTTTTACATGTATTTGAGAGAAGTTCAGCACTTACTGACTCTGTGATACAATGTCTATAGGGTTGATGTTTATTATTTCATGAATGTACTTAAAGAATAGTAAAATTACACCAAAATCAAAATGTGTAAGATATTGGGCTGCCTTCTCTTACAGTCAATACAATCTCCCAAGTATGCTAATAGTTTAGGCATCAATGTTTACCATTACGCTGGAAAGCAGCACCAATACGGAGACCAATTCCTGGAAAGTGTTTTACCACTCTCTGTGGGTACCCTCTGTCCATGGTTTGGGTCATCTCATCATACCTGCATAAACGAATTTGAAAGTTTTCTACTGGATTTTTGGGGGAACTTAATTCTCTTAATACCCAATTTAGAGTCAAGCAGAGATATGGGGGAACAGTAGGACTGATAGAAGGAAACTAGTGGGATTAATAATAAAAATATGGCCAAGATCATGTTTGGTTAATACTATGTTCATAGTATCTTGAAAATAAAAACTGATCAGAGAAAAAGACTACATCATTTGTCAGACTGGTGCTATTCTGAGAAATTGTTAAATTAAACTGAGGGCTCAGCTTGGAGCCATCCTAGATTTTGACTGGATTTCTTTGTGTCATTGGCAATTTGGTTGACATCAACAGCTTTATCATTTTACCTTATGTTTATTTTTTTAAGTTGGAAAAAGACTGTTGAACTCATTAAAACATCTTTTACTTTGGTAAACGTCATTGACCAGAGATTGCCTTCAACACAATTCACTTAAAAAAGACTAGATTCATTTTATTTTTGTCTGGGTCAAAGTGATGCTATTGTGGACATTGTTATCCATAATAAAAGGAAAGGATCAATTGTCTGTAAACTTACCTCCAGCACCAAATGCCCACAAAGAAGTAGGTTTTTTTGGTGCTTTGGTCACAGACAGCTGCATCAATTTTCTTCACATGTCTTGGAAAGCCAAGTGTATGAATGGACTTGGGATAATCTGGCAAGACAGCATACCCTCTGATTGCCCAGAAGTTTTTATCTAGGAACAGAGAAAGTGATTATCTTCTGATCTCTTTCCTAAAAAGAGAAGTGTCTTAAGAAGCTTGAAAATCACTAAATGCATAGTTCTTCTCAGCTTCAGTGCTTACAGACTAAGTAATCTCATGTCTATTTCTTCTTACCACTGGTTAGCTGCATATATTGTATTGTATATTTTTATCAACTGTATTGATTGCTTTTAATCAATTCTATCAAAACAATCAAGTGTGTTTGAACATGTTCTCCTAAATTTTAAACCCCACATACTCTCAAAGGGTAATAATCTAATGAAGTCCAGGTTAAAACTAAGATTGATGGAGTAAATAGAAGATGCCAGCTAAATTTGAATTTCAAATAAACAGTGGCTAATTTTTGGCATATCTAAAATATTGCAGGGGGTATACATATATTTGTTGTTTATTTGAATTTCATAGCATCCCAGATTTTAATTTGCCAAATCTGACAACCTTACAAGAAGGAAACATGAAAGAGAGATGGATTAATGGATAAACTTTTTTTTTAATCACACAGATTTCTTTTAATCCCTGTGAAATTGGGATGCACAGCTTCAGAGAATCCCTGGATGGTTGTCCCTTTTGGCAGGAACCTCATATTAGTACAGGAGCCCTGTCCATTTGGCTTATGCAGGAAGTTTATATTTCTTACACCAAAATGCTCACTGTCTAGTTTAGGCATCCAGAGGGACAAGAGGAATCACAATGAACAAGTTTACCTTTAAAAACCAGAATCTTATCTTTGGGGTTCTCATATGCAGCTTGAAGATCAGCTGGTAGTGATGGCCAAAAAGAAGCAATTAATTCAAACTCAACATTGGCGATATCGTAATAGATCCTCCATAAGTGCCTGTGTTGAACAAGAAACACTTCACACATGTAAGCCTCTGAATCTGTGTTGATGTAAATGTTGCAATCTAGTCTTGTCTTTTATCTAATTTGTTGGTATCTTATACAAATAATTTAGGGAATTAGCACAATTTCCCCCAGAAAATTTAGGTGGTTGTGAGTTTAGTTCTACCCTTTGGACCACAAAAATCAGGATATACCTTAGCATCCACAGTCTTGGGTACTTAGAGAGGCAAACTACCCGTGGTAATCCTAGAAATAGTTGAATGCTCTCATTTTTTGCAGCAGCACCCAGCATTCTAAGCCAACATCAAGCATCCTAGGAGGAACTTTTCTATGCTAGTGTTTTATGGAATGAAGAGATATTATCATTGGCATACCAAAATATATCCTCAGAGTTTCCCTGTGGCTGTAAGATTCTGAATCTATGAATGATACTCTCTTCCCCTCATAGCAATTCCTCTCCAATATCCATAACAGATAGTCTCTCAGCCTCTGGTGGTCAGAGCATGGTAACGATGGCATGTAATAACAGTGCTGGAGTCCAATCTTAAAGAATCTTTCCTTTTGCCTGTATATCCTTATCAAATGAAATATGTCCTGATACTTTTCTCTGAAAATGTGATCATGGAATATGTAATTGACACCCAATGCTGAAATTAGGTCCAATAAATCACATATAGTTAGAGAAGAGATTTCCTACTATAGCTAACATTTTTTTGATGCAACATTAAGAAATGGTCAGTGGTATGCAGACCCATGTCTAACAACTGGCTCTCCAGGTAAGAAAAGTCCTGAATTTTAACATTTGCTGCTTTCCAAAGTGTGATCACTCCAGCTAAAGCCATTTTAAGCTACCAATATGATGTGAATTGTTTTACAAAATTCTTGACAATTTAGCAATAGACTCCTGAAATCAGGTAAGAGTTGGTTTCCCACATACCATTGTGATAAGTTTTTTTTTTTTTTTTTTTGGCCAAGAAGTCACTGAGACTAGACTGGACTTTATTTCCTTATATTATGGTAATTCAAAAATTTGAATTTAAATATTTAAAATTAATGTATCAAATACATATATGATAAATGCACATGGTAAAACATTCCAACGGAATAGATGGTTATAAAATGTAAAGTATTTTCTCATCCCCATGACTCCCACTTTATCCCCAGATCCCTTGGAAAGAAATTTCTTGTAAGAAGTTGAAGTGTTTAAGGGAATGGGTTTACCTGCCTTTAAAGAACATTACTTCTCTGCGGAAGGTGGTGATAGCATCAAAAGTCAAGCCAGGGTCACAGGCATGAGGTACCATGGGCCTCCGTGGTTTGGCAGGTGCCTTAGGTAGACCTCCTTTGACGAGAAAAGAAATACCACACTAAATTAAGAAGGCGTGAGGAAATAGGCCTACACAAGGACCTTACCTAAGTGAGTTTTGCTTCATAATATTTCAAGAAGCCTTTTTCTCAACTTCCTTTCTGGAGCTTCCTATTTAGTTCCCATACATTCAGATTTATAATTTTGCTCACCATAGATGGATTGAATTCCGTTGATATCATCCTGAGACAGTGGGTATTTGCTGGGATCCATGGAGACATAATTCGGGAACATCAAGGCTGTTTGATCATTGGAGTGAGAGAGCCCCAAGGAGTGACCAAATTCATGAGCAGCCACGAGAAACAAGTTGAACCCTTAATAAAATAGAAAATGTGAATACATGAGTGGATCAAAAGGAGAATGGTTGCATCTGAGATTAGAGAAGAATGAAGAAAATTCTTACTGCACAATAATTATTTTACAAGCTAGGCACCATCATTTATATATGGGAAGTATTTCAATACTAATAATTGGCACTCATAACATCACAGGGAAATTTGACCCAGAATAGGTAAAAGACTTGAACTGGAGACTGAGAAATGGATGGTATTATAAAAATAAATAAATAAAAGTGAAGTCAGCAGTTTTTGTTTGCTGCTCAGCTTTACTATATGTGATCACATTGCTTCTACTTATATTCTTCAGAGGTTCTCCACTGGCTGTAGGTTAAGACCAAGTATCTTCACGTAGCCCTCCATGATCTACTTGTTTACATGAACATATTTCTCCTTTATTCCCTTCTTGTGATGCTAACTCTTGTGGCAATGGCAGTAACAGCCCCAGATTTCCCCTGCTGCCTCAAGCTCAGCCATAATAGACCTCTGTTCTTCTCATAGCACTTCTAAAAACAATTGTTTCACATGCTCCAACTCAGCAGTGTGTGACCATGGATGGTTCTGTGTGGAGGCTTTCATTTTTACAGAGTATAGAACTGACTGTCCGGAGTCCCTTGGTCAGGAATGAACTGAAGCCTTGCATGCTGCCTGTCAGGAGAGCTACAACCTGTACTTCTCTGGGACCCTGAAGCCAGACACTGGGACAGAGATTGTTGGTTCAATGATAGGGAAAAAAAGAATGGAGAGAACCAGACAATCTACTGAGCCAGCTCTGTTTTAAAATGCACTCATTGTTATTGTAGTAAATGTCTGATTTTTGCTTGAAAAGTAATAAAATATCTCTGGGCCAGTGAAGCCCATGGAAAAAAAATCAACGTACTTGGTATAAAAACCAGGGTCTAATTCCTTTGAATGATAACATGTTCATTCTTTTAAATAGATCCTCAATGGGCCATGAAACCACACATTATTCTTTAATCATAAGCTCAAAATTATTACTTCCCTAGAGTTTTCTTTCAGTCTTCAAGCAGTAGATGACTTCTACCATTGACACAAGACGTAACGTATTCTGCCTTGTATGGTGTATGTGTGGGTACAGACCTCACATGTCATACAGGATCAAAACCCACTGAAGGGCTGGGAAATTTCTAGTGCAACTGTGTGGCCCACACATCACTTGACATAGTTTTAGACACATGGTGGACCCTCAGGCATTGTGAATTTATGAATGAGTGTATGAATGATGCAGAATGATCATGGCAGGACTAGCAACTTTATGAGGGTGTTGTGTGGATAAGGCTTTGAGCTACACAAGCACCATTGTCTGAATAGATACTGAGCACTTTCATCAATGTCATCCTGGAAGGTGGAAAATTGTGGGGAAATGGGAAGTTTATAGGTAAAAGGAACTTGTTGCAATATTCTTCTTTTGAGATATTCTTTAGAATAATATGACTTTGTTCCTAAAGAAAATTAGACTCACCTGATGTGTCCTTGGTTGTCCAGTTTTCATCCTCATCAAAGTGAGTGTCGCCACCCAGGCCCAGGCCAGGTGGAAAGGCATGGCCAAGAACTCCCAAGGGGCCATCAAAATAGCGAGGACACCGACCGTGCACTGAGAGAGATACAATTCATAAGAGAAACAGGTCAGCCTGCTCACCTGAGATGAAAAGAGCCACACTGTTCTCTGTGGAAAGCCTTACCTCTTCTCCTAAAGGCAATCATGATGTCTGCAATCCCCTTGGATATCCTGGTGAATGTTAGCGGAGTAACCTTGCTCCATACCTCTAAAGCCTTTTGGATGGCCTCATCCACATCAACTTTTTCCATATCTGGAGTGTAGTTCATTATTCTTGAAAATTAACAAAAATTTAGGAATTGCTGGTTATACATTTCTGGTTTACCAATCTTTAGCTGCAGTTATTTTTGGTGTGGTGGTGTTATCTTATACTTGTAAACCACTTTATTTAAACGAAATACTTTCCCATATGCTATTTAAGTCAATTATTTCTGCTTCCCTATGAATGATGTAGTATTATAATACTTTAACAAAGAGACCACAAAGAGATTAGATGACTTCCCTAAGATCACCCCTCAGTGGGACAGCATTAATCTTATGCATGCATTTGCTTATCTATATACATTATTATAGATATGTTTTTAAAAGAATTGAGACTTATTTTCTTGAATGTATATGGAATTCAATTTTATTTTAAGACTCTTAGTGAAGAGCCACAATATTTTCAACTCTGGAAAATATTTTTCACTTGTTTATATTTCCTGTCTTGCTAAACCCACTTTTTATCTCAAGACCTAAGACTCAGTAAGATGAAGGAAGAACTATCAGAAAGGTTTCAGAGTGGTAGTCAAGGTTACTGCCTCTTTCTAAGATTGGGGACATGTACCATCCTCTTTCTGGCAATGAGCTGGCCCCTATTCTTTGAAGTCTCTGAGGGCAAACCACACGTTTACACTGGGAGCTATGAGAGATTTGTCAGCTCTAACACACACACACACACACACACACACACACACACATGCACACCTCTAATATGAGTGCTTTTGCTCTCTGCAGACACTCATCCATGCCCCAGGCATCTGCAGTCAGATGGCAGGGCTTCTGGACCTGAGCTCCCACAGATGGCAGAGCCTAGAGGTTAGAGTATATTTGCTGGAGCCCATCTCCTATGTAACCCTGGGTATGGTCCATAACCTTTTGTTTTGGTTTCTCTCTGTGTAATGTGGCAGTAACAGCAGTGCTTATATCAATAGGCTTGTCAGGAGGATGGAATACATGACCTCTAAATGTGGGGGTGCTCAATAAAATAAAGGGATTATTATCATTGTTTCTCAGAGGTTATATTCATATTCCTTTTGATCAGGTGGACTTAACGTTGGCAGAAGCATTACCTGTATGTGAGGTTGTGGTTTCTCCATCCAGGAAGAGTGTAGCCATACTGACCCACATCGGGCACCCCACACCTGGGTGTCTTCATGATCTCAAGAGTGCGTGAGTCCAGCTTTCCAGTCACTGTCAATCCAAAAAACGCTTGCATTTCTCGAATTTTGCCATCTAGGAGACTCCTGTTCTTGCTTTGAACAAGATGACTCCCTTCTATTTCAAGAGAGTAGAACTGGTTGAGATATGCCTGACCAAAAAGACAGAAAAAGGCACAGACTACCGGAGAGCAAATCTCCATCTCTGGATAAAACTAAGTGGCTTGAAATCCTTTCTGGCAGTAGAGAGGAAAATAAGAAAATAAACAATGAGGAAAAGATGAAAGAAAGGAAGCAAAGAGAAAATAAAAGAGTCACCCTGTTCTTTCAATGCCAAGAACAGGTTGATTTATGAGTAATTAGAACCAGCCAAACCACACAACCCATAAAAGACCAGACCTCCATAGAAGAGAATTCTACCTGATAAAGAGTGACACATCTTACATATTTTTGCTGTTACTTTCATTTTGGTATTTCTTTAAAACAAATTCTAGAAGAGATAGGTGATTATCCCTTTTTCTGATTTATTTGATGTAAGCAAATATAACCATTAACTGGACTGATTTTTAGGAGAAATCTCTAAAGCAATGTATTTTTCATGTATGTACAACTAGGGGCTCTGAGTTATAGATTTTGGGTCCTCCTGATTGTCTTGAAATTCATCTCTGGAGATTCCCCACTCCTGGAAGGGCCACCCCTGCCCTCCTTTCACTAATCCTTCACTAACTTCAAAGTTGTAGCAAATTCTGCTCCCTCCACCCTGTCCCACCCTTCACCTCTCACCCAGTCCCTTGATGTCCTTATAGCTAGACCAGTGAAAAGTACCTCCTTCTTGCAAGAAGTTTCTGGATTCTCGTAGGAATTTTCTCTTTTTAGGTCCTGAGAGAGCTATAAAAATGAAATTTTTACTGATAGCTGTTAGAAACAGTTATTGAGACAGTACCTGAGCCCGGTGCATGTTTTCCTCATTTTCAGCCTCTCGATCTGCAGGAAATGCAGAGGAAAATGTTATAAAAAGCAAACACAGAGGCAGAAGGCTCTTCATTCCTCTTTCTCTTCAGTTAAATCCTGTTCCTATTTGTACAGAATTCAAAAAGCAATAGTGAGACGTGGCATGAATTGGCTTGTATCATCATTTAATTAATAACAGAAAAGAACACTTGCCATGAAGTGTGTCATGACTTGCTTCCCCCCCGCCCCCCCCCCCCACCTCCATGAAATAGACTTGATTTCACAATCACAGTCTGTAATTATTTGGTAAACACATTGTTCACTATTGAACTGAATTCATGGTGCGGTGAACCTCCAAGTTACTTTTCTCCTTGCAAAGTTGGTAATTTTTCTATTCATAAATTCTCTAAGAGTTTGCAAAATGATTCTCTTTTGAAGAAACCCAAAATATCTTAGTAGTGAGGTATTCTGTAAAAACAATTGAATCAGGAATCATATTGTGTGATTAACAAGGTAAACATCAAATATTTATCAAGCACCTGCTCCTGTGTTGCCTGCCTCTGTGACTATAGCCAGCTTGGAGAACTTGGATTTACACAGACACTGATGGCGGATAAAACAGAGGCAAAGTCAGTTCATGAGGACTGAGAGGGACCAAAATCAGGGGGATCGCTGCTGGTGATGGCCCAGAGGCCTCATTTGGATCAGACAACTGGCATTGGGGCTGGCAGTGGTTCTTGGAGAACACAGGAATCAATCCCATCGCATGGGATTGGTATATGGGTGTGGGGAGGCCACAAGAAACAAGTAACAGCAGGAACCAGCCTTGGGAATTCTGGCCATGGTTGACAGAATAAAGGGCTCGTGGAGGAGATGGCTAATGGGAACGATGAAGAATTTGTAGAGGACCCAGATTATGAAGGACATCGAAAGCCAAATTTAACATTAGAGGTGAAGATATGGATAGTGTGAGCCCCTTGGATTAATTTCAACATGTTCTTTCCTTCTACACCACTAGTGATGACCACGTCCTCTCACCTGTTCTTCTGTTTTTCTCTACCAATTGTTAAAAATTTCTTCTCTTTCTACCCAAATTTTAACTCCTCAATGCATAGTCCTTTCCAAATTTTCCTTATCTGTATCCTGAATAAAATTTCTGTGACATAGCTGAAGATCATACTATAAACCCTAAGTAGACATATAATTTTCTTGTTTTTGATGCTCATATGATTTTAAATCCTGTTACATAAGTAGTATTTACTCATTTAATATATACATGTATATAAGATATATAGTTTAAAAAGTATATATATAACTACATGTAACTACATATACAAACTACAGATATTTTTAGAGCTTATATATAAATACACATACTATATATATGCAATTATACATAAATCAATATAGATGTAGATAGATTTAGTTTCAAATCATCTCATTGATCTTTGGTAGAGCGAAGGATCCAGGGGAGTTGGTAGACATGATCAAGATTTATGTTCTAATGATTTTGGAAGCTGGTGTATATGCATGTTATTATTCTTGTTGTTATTCTTTTGTGATTTTTAACTCTAAAATATTTCAGAACAAGATTTATAAGTTGAAGAGTTACCAAAACCAAGAAAATAGCCAAATGGTGATATATTGTTAACAGCTGTTCATTCTTTTTTTTTTAAATAGCTACACATGACATTACAATGATCTTGGCAATTCATACATTTGAATCAATTGGGGTATAATTTCTCATTTTTCTGATTGTACAGATTGCAGAATCACATTGGTCATAGAGTCACCTATATACATACAGCAATCATACAGCTGTTCATTCTTTAAGTCACACAAACAGCATTAAATTGTGTCTGTATACCTTTTCTCCTCATATTTTATTCCACGTTTCTAAATAGCATGTGTATGCTACTAGTTCTTGAGTTTTCAATGTTAAGTGCCATTAACATTTATCTGTGGAAGAGGATGAGTCAACATTCACCTTACTTCCTCCTCCATTTTCCTACTTTGGTTATAGTGAAGTTTCTGTTGATCATTGACCAGTGTTTTTGCACTTACGACAATGAAAATACTATTCATAAGACAGCGTGTAGTGTGTTATGATAATATCTCTTTTCCTGTAGAAATTTTTCCCCTTTAACTTTTTATTTGCACATTCTTTTACAAAATCTCCAATAGAACTCTTTTTTATTGATTTTTTATATATGACAGCAGAATGCATTACAATTCATATTACATGTATAGACCACAAATTTTTCATATCTCTGGTTGTATATAAAGTATATTCACACCAAACTGTGTCTTTATACATGTACATTGGATAATGATGTCCATCACATTTCACCATCATTTCTAACTCCCTGCCCCCTCCTTTTCCCTCCCACCCTTCTGCCCTGTCTAGAGTTCGTCTATTCCTTCCATGCTCTGCCTTCCTACCCCACTATGAATCCTTATATCAGAGAAAACATTCTGCATTTTGTTTTTTTTTTTTTTTTGGTTTTTCGGGATTGGCTAACTTCACTTAGCATCATCTTCTCCAACTCCATCCATTTCCCTGCAAATGCCATGATTTTATTCTCTTTCATTGCTGAGTAATATTCCATTGTGTATATATGCCACATTTTTTTTTTTATCCATTCATCTACTGAAAGGCATCTAGGTTGGTTCCACAGTTTAGCTATTGTGAATTGTGCTGCTATAAACATTGATGTGGCTGTGTCCCTGTAGTATGCTGTTTTTAAGTCCTTTGGGTCTATACCGAGGAGTGGGATAGCTGGGTCAAATGGTTGTTCCATTCTCAGATTTCCAAGGAATCTCCATATTGCTTTCCATATTGGCTGCACCAATTTGCAGTCCCACTAGCATTTTTTCCCCACATCCTAACGAACACTTATTGTTGTTTGTCTTCATAATAGCTGCCATTCTGACTTGAGTGAGATAAAATCTTTAGAGTGGTTTTGATTTTGATTTGCATTTCTCCAATTGCTAGCAATGGTGAACATTTTTTTCATATATTTGTTGATTGATTGTATATCCTCTTCTGAGAAGTGTCTGTTCAGGTCCTTGGCCCATTTATTAATTGGGTTATTTGTGGAGTTTTTTTTGTTTGTTTGTTTTGGTGTTTAGCTTTTTGAGTTCTTTATACACCCTAGAGATTAGTGCTCTAATCTGATGTGTGAGGGGTAAAAATTTGCACCCAAGATGTAGGCTCTCTATTCACCTCACAGATTGTTTCTTTTGCTGAGAAGAAGCTTTTTAGTTTGAATCCATCCCATTTATTAATTCTTGATTTTAATTCTTGCACTATTGGAGTCTTATTAAGGAAGTTGGGGCCTAATCTGACATAATGGAGATTTGGGCCTACCTTTTCTTCTGTTGGACGCAGGGTCTCTGGGTGTATTCCTAGGTCCTTGATCCACTTTAAGTTGAGTTTTGTGCATGGTGAGAGACTGGGATTTAATTTCATTTTGTTGCATATGGATTTCCAGTTTTCCCAGCATCATTGGTTGAAGAGGCTATCTTTTCTCCAGTGCATGTTTTTGGCAACTTTGTCTAATATAAGATAATTGTAATTTTGTGGGTTAGTCTCTGCATCCTCTATACTGTACCATTGGTCTACCAGTCTGTTTTGGTGCCAATATCATGCTGTTTTTCTTATTATTGCTCTGTAGTATAGTTTAAGTTCTGGTATAGCAATGCTACCTGCTTCACTCTTCCTGCTAAGGATTGCTTTAGTTATTCTGGGTCTCTTATTTTTCCTGATGAATTTCATGATTGCTTTTCTATTTCTATGAGGAATGCCATTGGAATTTTGATCAGAATTGTATTAAATCTGTATAGTGCTTTTGGAAGTATGGTCATTTTGATAATATTAATTCTGCCTATCCAAGAACAAGGGAGATCTTTTCATCTTCTAAGGTCTTCTTTGATTTCTTTCTTTAGGGTTCTATAGTTTTCATCATATAGATCTTTTACTTCTTTAGTTAAGTTTATTCCCAAGTTTTTTTTAGGCTATTGTAAATGACTAGTTTTCCTCATTTCCCTTTCAGAGGATTTGTCACTGATACACAGAAATGCCTCTGATTTATGGGTGTTGATTTTATACCCTGCTACTTTGCTGAATTCATTTACTAGTTCTAGAAGTCTTCTGGTGGAACTTTTTGGGTCTTCTAGGTACAGAATCATATCATCAGCAAATAGTGCTAACTTAAATTCTTCTTTTCCTATGTGTATCCCTTTAATTTTTTCCATTTGTCTAATTGCTCTGGCCAGTGTTTAAAGAACTATGTTAAATAGAGTGGTGAAAGAGGGCATCCCTGTCTTGTTCCAGTTTTTAGAGGGAATGCCTTCAATTTTTCTCCATTTAGAATGATGTTGGCCTGGGGCTTAGTGTAGATAGCCTTTATATTGTTGAGATATGTTCCTGTTATCCCTAATTTTTCTAGAATTTTGAACATGAAGGGGTGCTGTATTTTGTCAAATGCTTTTTCTGTGTCTATTGAGATGATCATATGATTCTTATCTTTGAGTCTATTGATGTGATGAATTACATTTATTGATTTCCATATGTTGAACCAATCTTGCATCCCTGGGATGAATCCCACTTGATCATGGTGCACTATCTTTTTGATATGTTTTTAAATTTGATTTGCAAGATTTTATTGAGAATCTTTGCATCTATGTTCATTAGATAGATTGGTCTGAAGTTTTCTTTCTTTGTTGTGTCTTTGCCTGGGTTTGGAATCAGGGTGATATTGGCCTCATAGAATGAGTTTGGAAGTGCTGCCTCTTCTTCTATTTCCTGAAATAAATCAAAGAGTATTGGTATTAGTTCTTCTTTAAAGGTCTTGTAGAACTTGGCTGTGTATCCATCTGGTCCTGGGCTTTTCTTGGTTGGTAGGCTTCTGATGGTGTCTTCTATTTCATCACTTGATATTGGTCTGTTTAAATTGTGTATATCATCCTGATTCAATTTGGGCAAATCATATGACTTAAGAAATTTGTCAATGCCTTCAATATCTTCTATTTTATTGGAGTATAAGTTTTCAAAATAATTTCTAATTATCCTCTGTATTTCTGTAGTGTCTG